CCGTGCAAAGGGATTACAACAGTTATGTCCCTTGAACGTGACCGCGCCAGTCCGACTCGAAATGCACACTTGCTATATAATCCGTATGTAAGGGGGGCAAACAATCTCGAATATTTTCGGATTGTGGGAGAAAAAAAAAAGGGGAGATAGAACTGCCTCTCACATGTTACTGTTACCAAAAGGAGAAGTTGATCCTGGCGGGAAGCTCTCTCCTCTTGAAGGTCGTGAACAGGCGCAAAAGGCACATTACCGACTCTGTTGCTACCAGAACCAGTGGAGAGAGAGAGAGAGAGAGAGAGAGAGAGACACACACACACACACACACACACACACACACCAAAATAGAAAGAAAAAAGGAGATACCTTAATCAGCAGGTGAAAGCAATGTAGAAACAAAAAATAATCCCCAAAAAACCGAGGCGCACTAATTTAGTGATTCAGCTCGCCAGAAAGGCTCACTAGGTACCGGAAAGGAAATGGGTAGGGCAAAATAATTATGCTTTCAGCTAGAAGTAGTCAAAACTCGCCTGATCCCGACTCTGACTCATTAAAAACGATACATGTTTGACGAGAAATAATTGGACCCGTGTGTAAAAACAACTTGAAATTCGGGGAACATGAATCTATAGTTTCCACCATCCTGCATTCAGATCATGCAAAATCGGGTGGCAATCGCATAAGTGCGCACTGGCTGTTACACCGACCAGTAGCAGTCTTTTTTCTTTTTAGTTTTCAGTTTTAGTAAGCGTTTCACGGCATTTGCAACAGAAATAGATAGTATTATAAGTGTCGAGGATCACAGCTATTACCAGAGAGTAATATACAAAGAAAAAGAGGACAGATAAGGACGATAGATGTTTGATGGGAAAGAAGGAACAAGTCACACCAGGGCACCTGCCAAACGGCCACATTCTACTTTCAGATCACACAGGATCGGAAGATAAACGTATAAGTGTGCACTAGCTGCTACACCAGTTGTTCTGAAACCAGCATGGATTTCGTGAAACCTGATCCGAACAGTTTTCACCATTCCACATTTAGATCATGCAGAATCGGACAATAATCGCATAAATGCGCACTCGCTGCTCCGCCGACTACCATGGGAATTCAACACGTCTGGCCCTCATTACCACCGCTCTGTCCAGACCACCAACGGCTAATAGTGGACGTTGGTCATCAGACACACACACACACACACACGTCATCAGCTCACCCCTGGCCGGAACGTGCACGGCACATGCCCGGCGCTCCCGACTCACGCAATGAGCGGACGTAATGAAATTTGCCTCGCCGCTACACGCTAAAGGGGCGCGCGTGTGTGGAACGGGAAGATGGGGAGGATTGGGGGAGGGGGTGGGGTGGTGGAGGAGTGGAAGGGTGAGATGGTGGGGAGAGTGGAAGGTGAAAAAACGTGGCGGTGGTAAGTGAGGGATAAACAGTCATACAGACAGGCAGACAGATAGAGTAAGACAGGAGGAAAGGGAAGACAAATACACATACAGTGGGACAGACAGAAAGGGAAGCTCGGGGGAGGGGCGTGAATAGACACACGGGGAGATGGAGAGAGAGGGCAGAGAGGGGGAGAGAGAGAAACAGAGAGAAGCAGACAGATAGACAAACTGAGATAGAGAGAAGAGAAGAGAGAGAGAGAGAGAGAGAGAGAGAGAGAGAGAGAGAGAGAGAGAGAGAGAGAGAGAGAGAGAACGATAGAAGTGGAAACGATCAGATTAACTGTATCCCAACATTATCATGTGGATAGATAGATGTTTAAAACCGTGCAACATGAAATGCACCCTGGAACCCTTTTCTGAAAAGTAGAAAACCCCACACAATACTGCACACAGAACAAAATAACAGAAACAATCCTCGACAAACGGAACCAAATGAAGAAAAAAAAACAACAACAAAAAGTGCAGTGAGTGTGAGTGTGAGGTGAGCAGTCTCTGACTGGGGGCACCGGCTAGGGATAAGTAAAGGGCTAGGCGGTAAAGGGTTGATGAGTTAGGTAATATCTTTAATGTGGACAAAGTTTCTGTCGGATCCTGTAAGCAACAAGCGTGTATCGTCATTCCTAGACCGTAGTGAATGGGAGGTCAGACGGGCGCGCGCTGTGGTATGGCTGTACATGTGTATATAATAGTGGACGGGATACAGTTTTGTAGTGTGGTGTAAGGTAACAGGGTGGTGGGATTGGACGAAGGAAACCAGGGGAAATGGGAGATTTGGAGAGAGCGAGACAGATAGTGAGGGAGGGAGAGAGAGAGAGAGAGA